CTTTCTTATTACAAATAAAAGAAAAATAATGTTACTTCATAATTTCACATAGTTTAGTGACCATAAGGAATTGTAAGTCCCATTACTTCACTCTCTGAGAATTTATTTGTTCACGCAACCAAGAATTGTTAAACATAATATTCAAGTTTCTAACCATCTGGAATATTGTGTATACCGATACAATATGATTATACAAAAGAAAGTATTATTTTAAAATGGATTGAGAAATGAATGCCGATTTAGTTGAAATTGCATATTCATAACCCTAAAGTAGATTAAGGATCTATTGGCCGTTATGACTTTGCTTAAGTCAAGTGATTTTGTTTCTAATAAAACAGGCTAAAATATATTTAACAATCATATATAAATTAATAAAGTAAATATAACATGTCATCCTTCAACAATTTCAACAATCAAATATATATTGTTGAATAAAAGAAAGAGAAAGCTCCGCAAATCCTTAAAATAATGCGAAAGCATTAATAATATATTAGAGCCAGTTGTGTTAAAATATTTAATGCATTATTAGTTCATCAAAAGTTTTTCCAAGTGTAAAATGGATTTTAGGAAGGTCAAGAAATAAACTGAAGTTTCCACTCTATTTTAAAAAGAGAAGAAAAATGTAAGGAGATCAAGCCATCAATCTGAAATTTTGGACTACTCTACCTCAACTTCGTTACTTTGGACACGGTCTGTAACGATCCGACTGGTCGTTTTGCTTTCTAGAACTCCGTTCCCCTAAATAAGACTTCATGTACTCGTTTTTACTGATTTATGACTTACGGGGATGGTTGGTTCGGGATTTGGAAAAGTTTGGGTTGAAATCGGAACACTTGGTTCCCTAACGTTGGCTTAAAAGGCCAAGTTTGACTTCGGTCAACGTTTTGAGTAAACGGCCTCGAAATCAGGATTTGAAGGTTCCAACAGGTTTGTATAATGATTTCGAACTTGGGCGTATGTCCGGATCGGGTTTTGGATGACCCGAGAGCATTTTGGCACCTAATAGTGAAAGTTGATTCCTTAAGGATTTTGAAGTTCTTTAAATTTGGTTTGGAGCGGGTTTTTGTGATATCGAGGTCCGAATGGAATTTCGAGACCAGTAATAGTTTCGTATTGTCATTTAAGACTTGTACGCAAAATTTGGTGTCAATCCAAGTAGTATAAGTACGTTTCAGCATTGGAGGTAGATTCAAGAACTTGAAGTTCATAAGTTTTATTCAACTGGTTTTAGGGGGTGATTCTTAGATTTAGCGTTGTTTCGGGCGTTCCGAGGGTTCGATCGAGACCGTTTTATGATTTCAAACTTGTCACTATGTTCGGGCGGGGCCTCGGACGCCCCGAGCGTCAATCAGACGAGGCTTGAGCTAAGTGGGAAATTTGAGAAGGAGCTGAAGCTCCAGTTCTGTCATAACCGCACCTGCGATTGGCCAGCCACAGGTGCGAGACCGCAGAAGCGGCTTACCAATCGCAGATGCGGCCCAAAGGGAGGAGCCCAGGTTCCGCAGATGTGGCTCCTCTTGCGCAGAAGCGATCCCCAGACCGCAGATACGGCCCCAGCTAGCTCGGCCAAGTGCCGCAGAAGCAGACGATCCCTCGCAGAAGCGAGACCGCAGATGCAGTCCCCTAACCGCAGGTGCGGAAATCGCTGAAGGCAGTGCCTTCATTTAATACAGGAATGTGTTATTTTTGACATTTCATTCATTTCTTGGGCGATTTGGGAGCTACCAAAGGGGGGATTTCAGCCCAACATTGTGAGGTAAGTTATTTCAACTTAATGTGAGTTTAATACATAGTTTAGGGGTAGATTACACCATGTAAATTAGTGAAAATTATGGGTTTAGAGTAAAACCTAGGGTTTTGATAAAAACAAGATTTAACCACGAAATTTGTTATGGAATGTAGATGAAATCATATATTCTTGATCCTTAGGTTATGGGTAACAACTTTCTTCAAAAATTTCCAGAATCCGGGCACGTGGGCCCGGAGGGTGAATTTTAGGAACCTTGCATTTAGGGTTGGGAAATTAATTTAATAATTAGAATATGAACTCTTGAGCATGTATTGAATAGTTCTGACCCCATTTGAATAGTTTTGGATCGTTCGGCTCCGATTTGAGGGTTTGAGCGCATTCTTGAATTTGAAAGTAAGCTTTGGAGCAAGGTAAGTCTCATTTCTAACCTTGTAATATGGAATTAACCCCATAGGTGAATTTAATAAATATATGTGACTATCTGTGGGGGGCTACGTACGTACGTGGTGACGAGAGTCCGTACGTAGCTACTATTATGCTAATTGTCCGGGTAGTTTAGGACCCGTATCATGCTATACTTGCAAATGCTTGCGTCCTTGCTTGCTACTAAGATCACTTAGGACATGCTAGAAATTGGTAATAACTATAGACGGTTATACTCACTTATCTGAGAACTTGTATGAATTATTTGACTATAAATGAGCAATGTGTGCTTACTTGATAATAAATTGCTATTTGTGGATCGGGTCGATCGCTTCGGTAGAAAATAGATGCATCTATGGTTCGCGCCTTTCGACCCTCTGGCAGTGCACAGTTTATTATTATATCGGACCGGGCCGTACGACCTCGGCACAATGTGCGCATGTTATTTATGTGGAACTTTTCGTGATTTACACTGTTTGAATGCTTCGGAATGTAACTTATGACATGATATGACTGAGATTGATATGTTGTTGAGAATGAATATTTTTTTCTTCTCGTCCTTGAACTGTCATTATATTCATGCTATTCATGCTTAGCGTAAAAACTTAAACTGTATTATTATTGACCCTAGTAGGTGTCTAGTCGACCCCTCGTCACTACTTCTTTGAGATTTGATGGGTACATGTTGTTTATGTACTCATACTACGCTTCTGTACTTAACTGTACAGGATCTGAGGCAACTGCATCTAGCTACCCGTCCGGTGCACGTTCCTGATACCTGCTCGAGATCTCAGGGTGATCTGCCCCTTTTGAGCCATTCAGCAGCATGCCGGAGTCTCTCCTTTTGTCACTTGCTGTCTATTCCATTTCAGGCAGTAGGATTAGTTATATTTTTGTACATTCTACTAGTTGCCCTAGTACTTGTGACACTAGTTCCTGGCACACACATTTGTAGACTATTATTTTGGGTTGTATTTCTATTATCATGGATTTTTTAATTATCGACTGTTTAAAATTTAAGATTTAGTAAATGTTGGGATTGTTTGGTAAAATATATGAGAATTCACTAGCTGATCAGGGTTGGCTTGCCTAACAACGGTGTTGGGCGTCATCACGACCTATAATGGAATTTGGGTCTTGACATGGTCTCTCGGAGATCTCCTACATTTGATTTGATATAGTAAAACAACATTTATTATAGGGAAGGGGGAAAGAAATAGAGATTTTTTTGCTTTTTAACATAAGATAAATTCAAATAATGAAAGGAAAAACCAAAAAATGGAGGAAAAAGATAAATAGGTTTCTTTGCCAAAGAGAGGTGCCACCTCACTTTTCTATTGCTCTCCTATATATATATATATATATATATATATATATATATATATAAATTTTTTGACTCTCCTATTATATATATTATATATTATATATTATACATATATTATATTATATTATATATATATATACTCGAGCATGTGTGTGTATAGTGAAACTATTGGGCAAAAAATCACTTTTAACCCGCGGGCGAAACTATTTGCATTTGATAGTTGCAAAAGTAATATATATATATATATATATATATATATATATATATATAATATTTTGTATATTTATAACTATATATACACACACAAAAAGTAAACAAAAATATACGTTATTTTAGCTGTTATTTTAAGAACGACTATACAGAGTTATTTTTACGAAACTACTAGTCATTTTCTGGTAGAAAAAATGACATCAGGTAGCCACTCTAAAGGCTTCTATTTAGGAATTAGTCAGTGCATCCCGAGTTTCAGTTTTTCAGTTCAAAATTCCAGGACAAAAATGTCTTACATTTTTCTGAAGTTAAGATTTTTAGTTTAAAATTTCTGGACAAAATAAATACTGGCTAATCTCTAAATAGCATCCCTGAGAATGGCTATCTACGCACTTGTCCCTCATTTCTGGGCTTGCATAAAGCTATTCGTTATTGGGCTGCCAATTGAACAATATTTTTGTCTGGGAAAAAGAATTGGGATCTTTACACAAATAGCCAGTCGGGTTTACTATTTTATTTTGGGATTTTTGCATTCCTATACACTATTTCAAACTTCATTACCCTCCCTACTCAAGCTTTAATCTAATTACATAATATATACAAAATGATCAATTATGTACATTTTTAGGCATTTAATGATAATAATTAAATCCTAAAATCACTCTAACGTCTGTATCCCACTACCCCACGTTTCTCTCTCCACACCCCACACCCCTCATGTATCTTTAGTACCTCCCTCCATTAACGTCTGTTTTCACTCTTCTTCAAAAATCCCTCTATATTTTTTCACTCTTCTTCAAAAATCCCTCTCCATTTTTGTAGATTCAACCTCTAAATACTCTTTCAGAGTATCGTATTTACTTTCTATCCAAATTTGTATTCCGGACAGTTATTGTACTTCATTTGATTTCCTAGCGATTGCTCATGCACTTGTGACACCGGGTTCTGGAGTGATTATGGGATATTCGGTATTGAAACTGTGAAGATTACTTTTTACTAGTTAAATTAAAGAAAATTTATGGTTTCAAAAACGTTAAAATAAGAGTTTAATTAATTGTTTAATGTTGGCTTGCCTGACCGAGGTGTCCGGAGTCATCACGACCATTAATAGATTTTGAATCGTGACAATACATCCAATGATAATTTTTAGTTTAAGGGATTGGATGAGCGGCTATTTTAGATTAATTCTTCAAACGAGTTCTACTCACAGTGCATGTCCCCAGCTTGTTAACATTAATAGTCAATTCATTCAAAATTAACTTGTAGCAAAGCCTATTTTCTACAGATTATGTATGTGTGTAAATGTGTGTGTATTCTTGAAAAAATACAAGTATATATAGAATAGCGCTTGAAAATAATCCAAAGAAATTGAAACAAGAAAGAAGGCTTTAAAACCAACATAGTCAAGCGAGTTGTGATAGGCCGGCACCACTTAATTAAGTAGATGAAGAAAACCTATGGAAAAACTCATGAATATGTTTGTTAATTTCATCAGGCTTTTCTTCTTGAAGAAAATGGCCAACATTTTCCAATATAACCACTTCTTCTAGCAAAGGTACATCTTTCTTCATCCCACCTTTGTGTACATAGTCTTTGACTCCTGGGGCATTGTAAGTTAAGTCCAAATCTCCCACAATAAATTTTACTGGTACTTTCACTTTAGCACCAGTCCATGCTGCTGTCAATTCCCAATTTCTGCATTTCAAAACCAAATCAACTTTTTTTATTTAAAAAAAAAAAAAAAAAAACCAGTTAAACTAAACATAATCGATGGATATATAAAATATGTATAATTCATGTATAATAAGTGTATCTGGTGCACTAAGCTCTCGCTATGCGCGGGATCTGGGGAAGGGCCGGACTACAAGGGTCTATTGTACGCAGCCTTACCCGTTATTTCTGCAAGAGGCTATTTCCACGGCTCAAACCATGGCAGAAACTTTACCAATTACGCCAAGGCTCCCCTTCTATAATAAGTGTATAACTGTGTATAACCTATGTATACCGACTAGAAAAAATATGTATAATTCATATATAATAAGTATGTAAAGGCAGTCCAGTGTACTAATCTCCCGTTACGTGCGGGATCCAGGAAAAGGCCAGACCACAAGGGTCTATTGTACGCAGTTTTACCATGTATTTCTGCAAGAGGCTGTTTCCACGGCTCAAACCCGTAACCTCCTGGTCACATGACATCAACTTTACTGGTTACGCTAAGTTTCCTCTTCTATAATAAGTATATAACTGTGTATAATCTATGTCTACCGACTAGAAAAAGTAAACAATTCAACCGGCTATTTATGTAAAGATAAGAAGGTGGAATAACTTACAGGTCAATTGCTCTGTAATAATTCAATCCTCCAGTGAAGCCAGCTTTTTCATATTTGCTAGCAATATAATCAACTTCTTTTTCTGGTAGCCAAGAGGGCAAAATAACTGGATTGTCATCAAATGGCTTTCCTTTAGGAAAGTATAAAGGTCCAGGGTTACAATAACTCAAGAACTTTTCCAATACTTTCTTTGTGCCTATTTTTGCAAACTCTGCTTCTATTTCTCCAGGCTCCTAAATAAAATAAACATTAATAAATATTTAGAATCATTGGATTTAAGTTATATAGACCGAAAATACAAAGAAACTTTACACTGTTAATGTACTTTAATGTGCCAAAGAAAAAAAAAATAGAATATCAAAAAAAAAGAGGAGGGAAGCAAAGGGAAGGACTACTTCTATTTCTCCAACTCCTAGATTTTTTTCCTTTTTTTTTTCTTTGCTTTAAGCATGTAGCTCAACGGTCGACTAATTTGAATTCGCGCCGAGATAATGCATTATGGGTTTCTATGATCTTAACAACATCAAGAGACCCAGTGTAATCCCACAAATGAGGTTTGGGGAAGGTAGTATGTACGCAGACTTTACTCCTACCTTCAAAGGTTTCTATGATCTTAGATGAAACAAAATATAGTACTCGTCATTTGTGCGTCCTGACGAATATCATAGGCGGATGGTGGGTTCAACTGAACCCAATATTCTTTACAAGAAGCATAGAAATATATATTAAGAAATCAATAAAATTCCAAAAAAAAAAAAAAATACAGCGGGTTTAGGTATGAGAACATAAAGATTGAACCTATCAAATTATCATCTTTAGATAGATGTAGTATGCCTAGGAAGCAGAGGTTCGGCAGGATTTGGAAGCTTATAGGTTCAGGATTCTAGTTCTTTTAAGTTATTGGGTTCCAAATTAATAATTTATGGATATTCAATGAATTCTTTAGACAAATATAGGGTTTGGATCAAAACTACTGAGTTCAGTCGAACTCGTAGCCGAAAGGCTGGCTGCACTCCTGCAAGTAAGTACGCACTGATTTATTTAAATCTTGAATCCGTCTCTATCTACATGTCAAAAAAACATGAAATGATGAAACATCAAAAGAGAAAAGGAGGTAAAGAGAACCTGAAATCTAACAATATAATAGTCTTCTCCATAAACAGCAAGCAGTGTTTCAAGTGGCTTTCTCTTAGGATTTCTAGGAGAAAATGCCACACTCAAATTAACCAAAGCCTTGACTTTGTCTGGCCTAAATAAACACAGAGCCCAAGCAATAATTGCACCCCAATCATGTCCTACAACAAACACCTTCTCTTCCTTAGGTGCAATGGTATTCAAAAGTTCCACTAAATCACCCACTACTTGTAAGCTGGTGAACTTGCTCGGGTCATCTTTCGATACTCCTGTCAGAGGCAGATTCAGAATTTAAATTCAATATTTTAAGCTCTTTCGAAATTATGAGTTGAAACATACTAGTAATATTTAAGGAAATGGGTAAACAGAAATATTCAATACTAGTAATTTTTATCCTCTGTTATACTTTGGATCATTCATTGCATTGCTACTAGAAAATCATGTGTTGCTTTTGTCCTTGAATTTAATAAACACAACTTAAACATCAGAGGCGAATGCAAAATGTAAACTTTATGGGTTCAGATTCGCAAATTATCGCATCTCATCTAATTTAACGGGTTCAAAATTTATTATTTGTATATATTTAATGATTTTTTGGACAAAAATACAGGGTATGAGCAAAAGCTATGCGTTCAGTTGAACCCATAGCTTTTACACTGCATTTGCCTCTAATTAGCATGATGGGTGGATCTCGTGTGTCAAAATACTTCGAAAAAATGGTCTTCTATCTGCTTCTGATATGGTATATAATTATCTTTAATTATACTTCGGTTAGGGTTCATGCTAGAGCTCCATTAGGCTCAAGGACAAATACAATTCGATATATAACTGCAATGATATGAATAATCCCAAAGTATAACGAAGAATAAAATTAAGATATTTCATACAACAGAAAGTCCCCTATCTACTTTTGATATGGTTTAGAATTACCCTTTGTTATACTTCGGTCAGGGTCCATGCCGGAACTATTTTAATTAGGCTCAAGACACAAATACAATTCCATATAAGGGCAAGGATATGAATGACTCCAAAGTATAATGAAGAATAAAATTAAGATATTTCATACAACAGAAAGTCCCCTATCTACTTTTGATATGGTTTAGAATTACCTTCCGTTATACTTCAATAAGGGTCCATGCCGGAACTCCATTAATTAGGCTCAAGAAACAATACAATTCCATATGACAACAAGGGTATGAATGACTCCAAAGTATAATGAAGAATAAAATTAAGATATTTCATACAACAGAAAGTCCCCTATCTACTTTTGATATGATTTAGAATTACCTTCCGTGATACTTCAATTAGGGTCCATGCCGGAACTCCATTAATTAGGCTCAAGAAACAATACAATTCCATATGACAACAAGGGTATGAATGACTCCAAAGTATAATGAAGAATAAAATTAAGATATTTCATACAACGGAAAGTCGAAAGTCCCCTATATACTTCTGATATGGTTTAGAATTACCTTTCGATATACTTCGGTTAGAGTCCATGCCAGAACTCCATTAATTAGGCTCAAGACACAATACAATTCCATATGAGGACGAGGATATGAATAACCCAAAGTATAATGAAGAGTAAAATTAAGATGCCGGACCACAAGGGTCTATTGTGCACAGCCTTACCCAGCATTTCTGCAAGAGACTGTTCTCACGGTTCGAACCTAAGACCTCCTGGTCACATGACAGCAACTTTACCAGTTACGTCAAGGCTCCCTTTCCAAGGAATAATAAAGAGTAAAATTAAGATATGTCGTACCAGTGGTATCTCCAAAGCCACGTAGGTCAGGAGCGACAGCACGATAGCCATGTTTAGCCACGAAAGAAATTTGGTGCCTCCATGAATACCATAATTCAGGGAAGCCATGGATGAAGAGAATTACTGGACCTTGACCTGCTTCTACAACATGCATGTTTATGCCATTCACTACCACTGTTTTGTGCTCAAAACAATCCTCCATTTCTAAATCTTTAGTATAGAACAAAGGAGGGAAAAAAACGTTGATTACCTACGATATGATCAAGTTGATATTTAGTGTGGAAAGAGATTTTTTGTGTCCAGAATGTTCAATATCTTTGGTCTTTCGGGCTATATTTGTACACCTCATAAAGGTTAAATAGTAAAGGGCAGTCCAGTGTATTAAGTTTTCGCTATGTGCGGGAAGGGCCGAACAACAAGGGTCCACTGTAGAAAAAATGATATTGTGTAGCCACTATTAAAATAATAAGCCAAAAAAATATATAAACTTTATATATATATATATATATATATATATATATATATAATAATATAATATATTATATATATATATTATATATATATATATTTCATATGTTATATACAAATTATATAAATTTTATACACTTTTTCGACTATCAGATGCAAATAATTTTTGATACGGGTTAAAAATAATAATACCCTTCTATTATACGCAATCTTACCTTACATTTTTGTCGGACACAAAAAGGTTAAATAGTACTGTTAGAAAATAGAAATATTCGTCTTAATCTGCCCATGTGAAAAAGGTAGGATTCTATCTTCCTGATTTTCTCTATTTTCCATTGGTAGTTATAACAGTGACCATTTTTCTAGGCTTATCTTTCTATTTTGATATATTTTTCACTAATTGTACGTCAATTTAATTGTTTTTTGGAGTCAAATCAGTTTTTATTATTTTATTTTAAATTTAAATATATGTATTTAAGACTTCAACCGAAAGTATTAATATTAGTAAAGTCAAAATTAATTAGTTTTAATCTCGTGAAAAGGAAGTGTTGTTGCTAGAAAATGAATAAGAGGATATCTAATTCAATTTTAAAAATAAAAAAATAATTAGCATGGTTTCTTAAACTAGACGAGAAAATTGATATGTGTAGAAAGGACGTAAATTATTTTGGAAGGGAAGTAATTATAACTTTCCCATCTATGCCAAATATATCTTACCTAACCTTTTAATAGAGAGGGAGTGGAATCACCGCTAGGACGTGATGCAGTGGATAGGGCTGCTCCTCCCTTGATCATAGGTCTCAAGTTCGAGCTCTGAGTATGAAAAAATCTTTGTTAGGGAACGCTACTCCCCGAATGGGGTTTAACCCGGCCCGAATCCGAATATAGTCGAGCTCCAACGCGAATATCGGACACCAGATGAAAAACCCAAAAAGAAAAAGAAATGGAGTGGAATCAAAATTATTGGTGGACTGAGAATTTACTTTAAAAAGTAGAAACATCAAGAGATATTAAAGAGGTCCCATTTTAAAAAGTAGAAACCACCATTCCTTTTTTGCTTTACAGTTATAGTCCTGACTCGTGAAATTTCACAATAATAGCACAAATGTTATTCTGAAGAATTCGCTAATTTGGACAAGTGGAACCAATATGTCCAACATTTACAATTACCATGATAAAATTCATCAGCAGCTACCGATCTTGTGGCGACTAGCAATTGCATGACAACAACTTTATTTCGATAATAAACATTTTTCATGGTAATTTTGTCTTTATTTGAAATCTGGTTCTGCTGGAGTATTCACTGGGGAAACAAAAAGCAAATTTGATTGATTACAAATATCTTCAATCTTCTCTTAAGTAATATTGTCAAGCAAACATTAGCTCAAAGGAGTTTCAAAAGAAATAATAGTAACATTCACTTCAAAATCGAACGTCAAATTTAAAACAAAAGTGAACTTCGTAATGCCTTTACAACAACAACAAACTCAATGTAATCCCAAAAGTAAGGTCTAGAAAAGGTAGCGTGTAGACAGACCTTATCTCCTACCTTATGCAGGTAGAGAGGCTGTTTCTGATAGACCACGGCAACTTTATAATGCCTTTCTTTCTTTGAAATCAAAAGATCATCTGACATCCAATTTGAGAGCTTATTTATTTGGTTATATTAAAGCTTGAAAGCATTGACCACAAAATCTTCAGTTGCTGTTTCACATTATAATTTTCAATTAAACAATCTTCAAGATGTGAATTTTACCATGTCACCACAGCTAATAGTAATATACCTTTGATCACATGAAACCTTTTCACTGTATCTTTTATTGCTCACAAAAATCAAGAGAGTAGTAGTTCAGAGACAGTTTAAACAATGTCAAGCCCAAAACCATTTTAGACAGTCTTGAAAAACTATCACATGCGTTCCATGTTGAATTCTTGAAACATTAACGGCAGTCATTTATTAACATGTTTGTCTACAGAGAGACTAATGAAGAATAAGCTCTGCATATGTCAAAATACTGTTACATCTTCCTTGCTAAGTACTACACTACACTGAGTTCTAATTAAGTTAAGAATAAACACATAAATTTCTGCAGCCAACAGGTTGTTGGTTTCTGATAAGAATTACAGTGGCCGTGCCAGGGTTAATTTTCTGTCTTACTACAATCTACTACCTTGAGTCTCACAACAGTATAGTGAGAGCAAATAGCGGGAGAGGAGAGGCTTACTTGAAAACTAGAGGAAAATATATATCACAATGCAGTACGTATATCTGGTGGTACGACTAATCTGGATTTCCTTCTTTTCTTACTTTCAGGCGTACAACGAGTTCCATTAACCTTTCCCAGCTTCAGGGAAAATCTGGAAGCTGAATTGGGTTCTGAAGGTGAGGAACCAAAAGCAGCCTGAATTTCTTTACCTTTGTTTTTTTCCTTTCTAAAGCCCTGATTGGGTATTGGAGATTTTGCTCTCTTTTTTGATGATCGAATTTGAAGTTTCTCCCTACCATTATCGTTCTTAAGGAGTCGGACATAGAAGGGATTTGCAGCTGTGTAACAAGTGGACTCACGTATTTCACCTCTTTCCAAACCAACATCTCCGTTGTTTACCTATTGTTTTAACAAAAGGAAACAGAGAGGTGAGTACTGCTTTACTCGTAGATAAAATTTCAACGGCAAAGAAAGAATCATAGTACTTCTATCTTCCAAGGTAGGTAACAATGTCACTAAAACTCATATAGAAAGGGTTTTTACCAATTGCAGAAGCGCAGAAAATGTTCGAGCAATATCATGCTTCTCTTGACCCGTAACAACATCAGAAAAAGACTTGGTGCTTTGACCATTTTCTTCCAGGGATAACTTGCACAAAATCCTAGCCCCATATTCATGAATGTCAAAGGGGGGATGTGAGTCCTGTGGGTAAACACTAGCACGATAAAAAATCTAAACTTGACAGGTAACAAAAGGAAAAAAGAGAGAGGAGATATTAGGAATTGCAAACGAACTTGTTCCTCCAAGTTATGCTCAATTCTCTGTTTCCACGTTGAAACGCGAGCAGCCAATTCACTCTGCTTTTCACTTTCAGCAAGGCTAGCAAGAAGAGAATCCTATAAATAGAAAAAAGGTCACTAAAACAATCGTGGAAGACTAACAAAATCTAAGCAACAGATAAGTTTGCCGAGAGTCCACGTTAGAGAAACCCCTTCTAATGCCATTTAGGAAAGAGAAAAAGGCCAGTGCCAGTTCATGAGCATGAATAAAACATCCCCGACATATACCAAAATCCATAACTGTATGAGGAATGAAGATTATGATTTATATTCTTACCAAGTGGGAGCGACAAAGATCTTCAAGGTTGGCATGAGCATTCGAATCTTCATGAGCTTCACTGTCAAAAAATGGACTACATTTATCATGCTGCAAAAACAAAATATATTAGCATTGTAACTCGCCCAAGACAGATTGAACCAGCTTCAGAGAAACATAATCATTAATGTAAGGGAAAACATCCATATCTAGTTTACTAACCTTTTCACCATATGGAGTTGCATCGCTGTTCATGTCTGCATTTTCTGGCATGTCAAAGCCAGAAGGCCCAAAATCGTGATCTGCACTATCATAGTAATCACTTTCATTATTTTCCGTTGGACTATTCAAACCATCATAATCGTTGTTCTCCCCATGAAGAAGTGATTCCCGTAGCTGCAAACAGAAGCTTCACACAATGAAACAATTCAGACACACAAAAGAAGGTACAATAAACTATCAATAAATAAAACCTTCTCATATGGTGGAGGAGATTGCGAGTCGCCTTGTTTTTTCATGGCACAACATTTTCTCTCCCACAGGTCGTTGAGGTCTGCGCTAGTGGTACCATGTAATCTCGCAACTGGAAATTCTGTAGCCAAAGATGAACCTTTTTTGGACACCGCACCCTGCCTTCTATTAGATTTAACTGCTTGAAAGCATGAAACCCACATTAGATAATAAAAATGCTAGCATACAGAAGGAGTAAAGAGAAGGAAGGTTAAGAAACCTTTTTTGTATGGTTTTACTTTCAAAGTGCCAGGTTCATGCGGGTTCAACGGATTCCATGGGTCTTCATCATCTGAGTCGTCTGAATCTCTAGGTTCCGAATATCCATCTTCAAATCGATGTGCATCATCGATGTTATCAGGCATATCAGATGCGAAGTGATCATTGTTAAAATTGCCTGGACCAAACTCATGAAACACTGGAGACTGATATAAATTAGCATCCTGATTCTTTTGAGCTGAAGACTTCTTGCCAGTTCCCTCAAAACGTCTTATGGGAGAGGAAAAGCTCTTGTGGCACTTGGAGTCCAAAGAACGGCCCTCTGCAATGCAGCTATTGTTCAGCCCCTTTCCAGCTATATTCTCATTATTCATAAACTCATCCACTGTTACGGCATCGCATGCGTCCAACAGAATAAAATCTCGGTAAAGATCACACGTGGCTAGCTGCAAATATTAATAGAACAAATCAAAATAACTGCAAACATACTGAAATTGAACACAAAAAAGACATTAACATACCAGGTAAGACTCTAGTTCTCCAGCATCTCCAGTAACATCCAAGCAGTCAGCCTCGCGCACGACCAGATTTGCAGGGGCCTTCACAAACTGGGTAAATGAAGAATCCCTGCATGTCGTATTATCCAACATGTTCTTTGTTTCCACTGCAAAAGGAACAATATAAATCAGGTTATTTGAAGTCTAGGAAACTTACAAAATTAACAGACGCGTAAGGATGCTACCTGAGGTTTCCTCTGAAACCCAGTATGGATCATTCTCTTCATTATCGGCAGCAGGCACCCCGTTTTCATCTGCTTGGGCTGATACACTTGCTGGTAGATCTGGGTCACTGATTTGACAGGAAATGGAGAATCTCAGTATGTAACATTATTGGGTTATGATGCTTAGCAATATTAAGAACTGAATTAGTATTATTTGGTGCACTGCAATATTGATAGCAATGAAAAATGTATCAACAGCCAGTTAATATGAATTACTTACTTCCATTCGTCAGAACAAGCAAATACGCAATGTTAATAAAAGGCTTGACTGCAGAAGAAATAAGAATCTATCCTTTATAAGTAGCTACATAATAAGAATCTCATGACCGATATAATATTCATGAGAAGATTTTTGTTGGATAAAATGAGAAAAATAACTTTTAAATTGGCAAAGATTAGTACTCGGGGTCAGGGAGTATACCTTGTTTAACCTTCATTCCAAATAACATATGTTTAATAAATATGCCAACTAGACTCTTTCCAATAATCCCTCTCCCTTTCATCTCAAGCAAATACAGCACCTTCAACAGTAGAAATAGTCAAGGCACAAATTTGTGTGACACCTACTAGACTCATTTAGCTCCAGTACATTGTGGAACGAAAATAAGAAAGAGTGAAGCAGAGCACCATACTCTACAGTATGTTAACCAAGGTATTAAATCATTGCTTGAAGCAGTGATCACCCACCTTAACCATAAGAAAAAGGATAACTACCTCCCTACAAAAACCCCTGGTCAATCAGAAATCATTGACAGTGTAAAGGCCCTTGCTCACCATGCTTATATAGCTAAAATTTACAAGTACTATTTAACTTTGAAAAGGCAGTTCAATATCAATGGATAAAGGGATTCAGTGTTGGCAAAAGGACAGGGGACGCAATCACAGTGTCACATCTTCTTTTTGCTGATGACACTTTGGTGTTCTGTGGTGCTGCAGGTAGGCAGCTGAGATATCCCAAGTTGCTACTTATTATATTTGAGACTATTTCTGGACTGCACATTAATCTTCATAAACCAGTTATGTATCCAGTCAATACAGTGGATAACAAGCAAGCTATAGCATACATTTTGGGTTGCAACATAGGCTTGCTCCCTACTACATATCTTGGGTTGCCTCTGGGTACCAGATATAAGAACACTACAATGTGGCAGTGAGTAGCCGAAAATTTGAGAAGAGGCTAAATACCTGGCAGACACAATACCTATCTCTTGCGTGAGAGTTAATTGATTAATAGTGTGTTGGATAGTATTCCAACATATTTTATGTCTCTATTCCCTATTCCAGGCAAGGTGTTGTAACAATTGGATCTAGAAAAGGAGAAGATTTTTGTGCGAGGGCAACAGTGATCAGCATAAATTTCACTTGGTGAGATGGAACAGAGTCACTATGCCCAAAGAAATGGGAGGAATGGGCATCAGAAATTTACAGATACATAATAAAAGTCTATTGATGAAGTGGTTATGGAGGTACAACAATGAGGAGAGGGCTTTATGGAGAAGAGCTGTAAAAGTTAAGCATGGAGCAGATACACATTGGCACCCGCACTTCAGAATAACTTCTACTACTCATGCAATAGGGCCTTAGAAACACATCAGTAAATTTATGGCAGAAATTCAAGGAAAACACTCAGATACCGATTGGCAATGGAGAGCATGCTATATTTTGGCTTGATAAGTGGACTGGAAATAGGTCCTTAAAGGAGGAATTCCCCAATGTCTTCAGCTTTGTTAATAACCCTAAAGCTACTGTGGAACAGCTTAGGGAAAATGACACCTGGAATGTCACTTTCAGAAGACAATGCCATGATTGGGAAATTGAAGAGATGCTGGAATTTTGGGCAAGACTGCAAGAACTTAAGGTGCATATACAGGAAAAGGACAGTATGATATGGGGGAGTAGAGGCAATAAGAAGTTTACAGTTAAAGATTGCTACGCAGAGATAATAGGCAGAGGTAGCATCATTGAGAATGGCCTTGGAAGCATGTATGGAGGAAAAAATACCTACTAAAGTGGCCTGCTTTAGCTGGTTGGCAGTATTAGGTGCAATTTTAACACAAGATGGTTTTCAGAAGAAAGGATTTCCTCTATGCAACACAGATGCTATATGTGTGAACGAAATACTGAGAGTGTAGATCACCTGTTTGTGCATTGTACAGTGGCTAGAAATATAAGGGTTTTATTAGCAATAATTTGGTTTAAGGGCATTGCCGAGAAGCTTAAAGGAATTTTTTGTCATTTGGAGCAGTTTTACAGTTAAGTCTATCAGAAGCACTTGGAAGATATAATCTGGACCATCTGGACTGAGAGGAATCAGAGATGCTTTGAAGGAAGATCAACTCCCAAATATACACTAAAAGCTAGATGTTTACTAAAAGCTAGGTGTTTACTAAATCTTTTTGCTTGGAGTAACCATTTTGATGTAAATAGCTCATTAGATCTCTTAGATTTTGTAAGCTCCCTGAGCAGTAAGGGGGGTTTTGCTTATCAGGAGACTTGACTTTTCTGTAATCAATTACATCCTCTGGATGATTGATTTAGCCAAATGTTTCCAGGACATTGTCAACATCCACATGTCATTGTGGACACTATCAATACAACATGTTCCAACAGATTATCTTCCAGTTCGGGAGTCGAATCCAACTTACCAGAGGTGTTCCTAGTGGTCAATTAAGTGGATTGAAAACCATAAGCTCGGTTCAAATCCCACCGAAAGCAAAAACACTAGGTGGTTTCTTCCCATTTGTCCAAGTTTTGATGAACAGAGTTACTCGGTACCATGTGCTGGTGAGTGGTGAGAGGTAGCAGATATCTCATGGAATTAGTCAAGGTGCGCAAGCTAGCTCGGACACCGTGGTTATGAAAAAAGTATTAATCTCCAAAATATGTTAGCTCTAACTGTTATTGTCAGAATAGTGTTCACATCATTACAGCTCTATCATTTAACTAGGGAGAAGACAGAGACAAGCAGGGGCCAGATTGAGATAGTACAAACGGGTTGAATATGGATAAGAACCATATTATCCACTTAGAAAATGGTTAACCAATGGATAACTAATAACAACAACAACAACAACCCAGTAAAATCCCACAAGTGGGGTCTGGGGAGGGTAGTGTGTACGCAGACCTTACCCCTACCCCAAAGGAGTAAAGAGGTTATTTCCGAAAGACCCTCGGCTCAAGAGAATAAAAAGACAAAAGGAGACTATATTAGTTCACCACAGAGATCATAGGGAAAATAGGAACATAAAATGCAGAGCAAAAAAAAATGCACGACATTGCCACTAGCTATCTTAGACAAAAATCCTACCAGACTAGGGTCACAAAGGTACAAAGTAAGGCAAGACTGAACTACCTCCTAGCCTACAACCGTAATACTCGACCTCCACAACTTCCTATCAAGTGTCATGTCCTCGGAGATCTGAAGCCTCGCCATATCCTGCCTGATCACCTCTAGCCAATACTTTTTAGGCCGCTCTCTACCTCTTCTCGTGCCCTCCACAACCAGTCTCTCACACCTCCTTACTGGAGCATCTGGGCTTCTCCTCTGTACATTCCCGAACCATCTGAACCTCGCTTCTCGCATCTTGTCATCAATGGGAGCTACATGCACCTTCTCCAAAATATCATCATTCCTAATCTTATCCATCCTAGTATGCCCGCACATCCACCTCAACATCCTCATTTCTGCTACTTTCATCTTTTGGATATGTGTGTTCTTAAAAGGCCAACACTCAGCCACATATATCATGCCGGTCTAACCACCGCTTTATAAAACTTACCTTTGAGTATCGTTGGCACTCTCTTGTCACACAAAACTCCGGATGCTAACCTCCACTTCATCCATCCTACCCCAATACGGTGTGTGACATCCTCGTCGATCTTCCCTCCCCCGTGGATAACCGACCAAGGTACTTGAAGCTGCCTCTACTTGGTATAACCTGTGATTCAAGCCTTACATCCACGCCCACCTCCCCCAGCTCAGCGCTGAACTCACACTCCAGGTATTCCATCTTCGTTCTGCTCAACTTGAAACCCTTAGACTCAAGGGCATGTCTCCAAACTTCCAGCCTCTCGTTAACGCCGGCTCGTGACTCATCAATCAGAACTATGTCATCGGCGAATAGCATGCACCATGGTACCTGCCCTTTAATATGGTTTGTTAACGCATCCATCACCAGGGCGAATAAGAACGGACTGAGCGCAGAGCCTTGGTATAACCCCATTTCAACCGGAAAATGCTCAGAGTCGCCTCCTACTGTCCTAACCCGAGTCTTTGCCTCATCATACATGTCCCTAATCGCCATAATATAGGGAACCTGCACACCTATTGCCTCCAAGCATCTCCAGAGAACTTCTCTAGGAACCTTGTCATATGCTTTCTCTAGGTCAATAAACACCATGTGCAAATCCTTCTTTCTCTCTCTGTACAGTTCCACCAACCTCCTAACAAGGTATATAGCTTCTGCGGTAGAACGACCCGGCATGAACCCGAACTGGTTGTCGGATACAGACACTGTCATCCTCACCCTCGCTTCAACCACCCTCTCCCATACTTTCATGGTATGACTCAGCAATTTGATACCCCTATAATTGTTACAACTCTGGATATCACCTTTGTTCTTATACAATGGAACCTGTACCCCACCTCCACTCATCCGGCATCCTCTTCGCCTTAAAAATAACATTGAACAACCCAGTCAACCACTCCAAACCTGTTGTTCCTATACACTTCCAAAATTCCACTGGAATCTCGTCTGGCCCGATCGCTCTGCCCCTACTCATCTTACGCACAGCTCCCACGGCCTCCTCAACCTTGATACGCCTGCAGTGCCCGAAGTCACGGCGACTCTCGGATAACTTATGTGTTTAACTACTACATTTGTAAAGCCTCAAATTGGGGTTACTCAAGTTTGGGAGACTAGAAATTCTCCCAAAAGTGGTCATATTCAAGAAGCCATAGATAATATGGATATCCATATTATCCGTCGGATAACCCGTTTTTATCCGTCTCAAATACGGTCGGGTCGGATAATTTATCCGTTTATTGAATTACCTATTTTCGACATGCTCATATCTGACCCGACCCACCCGTTTGCCACCCCTACTCACAGGCTAGTGCACTCAACAAATTTAGAGTTAAACCAACAAAACAAAAAAGAACAAAACTTTTGCAAGACGAGAGAGAAGCTTTAGAAGTAGTTTCCAGGCAAAAGAATCTATGCAAACCTTGCACTATGGCTCGTGTCAAATTTGCGATATTAGGACATCCTTGTCTAATTTCAGACTTCTTACGCGTTACTCAAAGGTGAAGGCCTAAAATGTACAGCTACTATACCTTAATACTGCTGAACACAAGCAGAGGTACTATTACTAAACACCAGACATAGTTTCAACCATCAACAGAACAAGAGAAAGTTGAATAAGTTGTAATCTAGCGTCTGATTATGTAAACACTTAAACTTTATCCAATCAGAGAAAACTATACAATCTACTCAAGGAATCAACTAAAATAAAGACAAAAAATTCAAATAGCAAAAGTTGTAAAGCACCTCTTCTTGGTAATGAATTCCAAACAATGCAATACCAGAGAATAAAGATATTCCACCTTCCTGCTGTACACCTGAACTGACCCCTGAAGCAGCAATGCAGCTACAAATCCCGAAACATCTCATTAAAAGAATTACAAAAATATCCTTTTCAGAACAGTACAAACCCAACGCATCCTTTTTCAAAAATCAAGAATATATCTGGCACAGAGGAAAATATTTTCCATAAAAATGTTTTCATGAAAAATATTTTACTAAAAGACATTTTCAGATTATTTTCCAGTGTTTCGCCGTGTATAAAGTAGGTGACACAAGATCTGAGGCGGGCCCAAGATTTGAACTTTATTGTTCAAGTTCAAAATTCTACCACAATCCATTTAATTTACTGAGTTCAAAATCTATTATCTGTACTTAATTTAGTATATTTATTAACACATCTACAGGGTTTGAGCCAATATTACTACGACCAAATTAACTCATTTGTATACTAGGTCCGCCCCTACACAAGATTATATATAAAGTAGAGCATAGAGTATAAAGATAGTGAATTTACAAACATGAGAAAATAATCGGAAAATCATTTTTCGGGTAAAATATGAGCATTTTACCCAAGCGGAGGAAAATGTACAAGGATAGTGTTGTAGCAAACACAAAAAGATGATTTTTTTTCATGGAAATGTTTGATTTTCTGCTCCAAACACACACTAAAGCTGAAAATGTTACAAACCTTCAGCAAAATTCACATGACCGTCATCATAATTATCTCTAGTAATTTCACCAGAGCATATTTTGAGCAAATATTCTTCAAGATTTTTGGCTAAATCAACACCCCAATTTGATTCTAAATCCCTAAGTGGCTGTACAACACTGTGAAATTTTACATTTTCCTCATCTGCTGCGCCGCGGCCGCTCGCATCTTCTTTACTGTTTATCATCTTGTGGGACTACAAATCCCGCCTTCCATTAGTGAAAAAAGAACCCTAAAATCTACAATTTGGGAATTTTTCAATTGAATTTACAAAGCCCCAAATTTTGGGGAAAGGGTAGATGAAAGTGACGTCGTTTAACTGCTGTTTCTGGGGGAGCGGAGATTTTTTAAATTTTTGGAGTAATGTTTTTCCCGCTCCGAGGTTATATATATATATGTGTGTGATTGTATGTCGGAAAATAGATGGGCCGAGAGAGTCCATTAAAGTTTATTGGATCTTGTTATTAGCCCAAACTCTTTGAGAAACCCAAAGTTAGGGAATCTACATAAGAAATTGACCAATGTATATTTTTAGTCGCTTTAGAAAATAATACCCGACAAAAAGTACATTTTTTGTTTGCATGTATGTATGTGTGTGTGTGTTTGTGTGTATATATATGTGTGCGCGCGCGCGCTAGCAAATGCAATTAATTGGCGACCAGCCAATTTTGTATTTTGCTCAAAAAAAAATTGATAAAGTTTTGTTTTTATGGAATAAATCATAAATTGCACTTCAAAAGAGTCTGCAAAAGTTTATTGCACACTCTTAACTTAGCGAGTGTCTTTTTACCTCCTATTTTTGTTTCAAGTGAGTCTAATACTCCCTCGAAATACAAAATCAATCTTGTTGTAAGAATTTAAGAAATATTTTACACGTGTCGCCACATTAGATGCCATAGCGGAACGACGAAATCAAGGCATAGAAGATCTTAGGGTTCTGCCCTCAATCGAGTTTTAAAATAAGTAAATAGGAACATGAGTCCACTTATCAAGAAATAAACTAGACTCACATAAATAATATTGGCTATGTGACTCACATAGTAAAATTTCTCCCCTCAATCAACAAGCCTACGTGGTTGTGCTACATTTCAAGTTTTACCATTGATTTGTTGTTTTGGATAATTTTGCTCCCAATCAAAGGTACTATGTTAAGTAGAAAGATGATGATTTTCATAGTACATTATTTTAGTATTCCAGTAAAATTTCGAATTGAAGAGCATTTTAATTTTGTTTAAAATGCGAGGCACAACGATCTAAAGATATTGTCAATAAATAAAAATATGTGTTGTTCAATAACATCTCTTAAAAACTTCGCTATTGTTAGACGGTCAATTCAACTCACCCTACGAATTTCGATTATTCAATCATCTCACTATAAACTAAGGTCAATTTTGATTCTGCAATATTTTTTTCTTCAAAAAACTACTTTAAAGAAGCATCGATCGAACCAAACACCTTTATTTTATTTTGTATGCCCGAAAGTTTAGAGCGAGAGACATAAAACAAATTATAAAAAAGAAAATATTTTTTTAGAATTTATTGAAGACAACAACTTATTACAAAGTCATCATTAAAAAATTTACACCTTCATCATCCCTGGTTCATATGGGACACCAGTTTTAGTAACCCAAGAATCAGTATTATCACCACCTTTAAGCACAACTCCAGGAGTAAATTTAGCAATAACATCTGGTGTTGGATTCTTGATATAATTCTTCCAATTGACTCTCTTATCTGTATTTGCTCCTGGACCTCTATTTTGATATTCAACAAAATATAGAGTGTCAAGGGCAAAAGTACCAGCCCATGGTGTCCATCCTTCAGGATCAATGAATCCATCAATCTGAGATTGCATAATTATTGTCCTTGAGTATAACTTCCATGGACGTCCGAGGTATGCCTTGTTACGTGGCGGGTTGATAGCGAGCAGAGCTGGCTCAGCAGTGATCGTGCAGTTCTGTATGATGATCGCACCTGTTCCATGGGCGAAGTCAGAAATTCTAACAAGCAAATTTAAACATAAGGGTGCACTTTTACATGTTTGAAGGTCGGGGTGCACTTTTATATTCAACCAAAATTTGTTTTTGTATATAGGGTGTGCACTACTAATATATCACTATTTTCTAAAGACTTAAACATGTATATATTTGGGAGTGTTGATGACCCCTCTCAGTATAGCATAGTCCGCCTCTAAATGCAAGAATGCTATATCTAAGATTCAAACTAGTGACATGTTTACCACTACAATAAAAAATTATATTCTTGTCGTTTCAACTTATATAGCGTAATTTGATTAGGCACGAAATAAAGAATGACAATTGAAACTATAGCGTCCAATGTGAGTAACATTTTTAAAATTTGTGATTTTAAACGTATATAAACATTTGTGTACCTGTAAAAACTTGTCATTTGGGATGTTCAAGTTAAATTGGTTAAAAATTTAGAAATGCATCATTCCCTTTTAACCGAAAGGAGCAAATATATAAGAAAATTTCTTATTATTTTTCTTGCATGATCAACGAAGAGTATTCAACTGAACCACTAACCTGTTCCAAATTGCTGGTTCCTTCCCTGAGCCGCGATTGTGATCGCCTGCGTCTGCATCTCCTCGGGCTTTCTCGCGATCAATTTGCAGTTCTGGAACACAGCCACGGCGTCTCCAAAGATGAAATCGATGGTTCCGGTGATGGTGCAGTCGCGGTAGAATTGTCTACCAACATGAGTCATAAGAGTGTATTGGTAGCCATCTATTTGACAGTTTTGAAACACTGCCATTTCAGCTGAAACACGGAGTGCAACAGCTTGATGTTTTAATGGTCCTGCTGAGTTCTCGAATCCGATATCCTTCGCCACGAATCCTTGTCCCGAGATGGCTACATAATGTCGATATTTAAAGAAGTGAACAGATGAACAAAATTCATAATATAATATATATTTTTTTTTTTTGCAATTTTAACCTGATCATGAGCTAAATTTTGGGGTTTAATTAATTCCGATGATCATTTCCTTATCTAGTGTTTGGCCATGTGCATCAGTCGATAGAGGGTTCAGATAAAGTAAGTAGCTCGCAAATAGTTTGTTTTAAAAATTTGTTTTGGGTGAAGTTTGGTTTGAAGATGAAAATCTGTTTGGACATAATTTTTCAAAATATATTTCACTTTTTTTTTTTTTTTGAAAAAACATGAAATGTGACTTATAGCCATAATCAAAAATACCCAATAACTCTGAAGAAAAAATTCATACAAAACAAGCGAAACATATCTGAAAAAAATTCATACAAAACAAGCGAAACAAATTTACAGAGAAGGCAAAACCGCATGAGTTTAATGAGGGAAAAGTAGGTATATGGATTAGTTGGGTCATAATAACAAAAAGTGGCTTTTTTATAAAATACAAAATTTGGGGCAATTTTTGAATTTTTTTTTAAAAAAAAAACAAACAGTAATATTTTGGGCTAAAAACACCTCTTGAACTGGTTTTGGGATTTGAAAATTTGCCAAAATATGAATAAAATCTATATACAAACAGATATTTGCCAAAAAAAATTGAAAAAAATTTGGCAGAATATATGGCGAAACGGGGCTTAATAACTTAGGCCCCGTTTGGCCATGAGTTTTGCCAAAATAAATTTGGGATTTATTTTCAAAACTCATGTTTGGCCATAAATTTTGCCCACATTTTGGCCAAATCCCAAATCCCAGCTGATTTTGGGCCAAAATCCCAAAACTTGAGAATTATATACATGTTTTTCCAAAATAAAGTTGGAAAATATGTTTTGAAAACATAAGTCCAAACATATTTTCATCTTCAAACCAAACTTTACCCAAATCAAATTTTTCAAAATAAATTTAGGATCTATGGTCAAACGGTGCAATGTGGTATGTAATGAGTCTAATGACAGAAATCTGTACTTACCAACAGTGGCAGTACTGAAAACTGGGAGACCATCTAGGTAATTTTTGTTGCCAGTTATCTTGGTCTTATTTGGGCCTTCACCAATAAATACAACATTGGTCATTGTATTTGCAACTTGAACATATTCATTGTAAATACCAGCCTTGATAAAAATGACATAGGGTTGTGCATTATTTGGGGGCACAGTTTTAAGAGCCTCATTGATTGATTTGTGTTGTCCACTTCCATCTTGAGCAACGACGACGTTTGGCTTGATGGCCGCGACTTGAAGAAGCCTACGGTTACCTGCAGATGCAGATCCAGAAATTAAATATAACGGGTTAAAAAAGGACAGCTCGGTGCACAAGGTATCCCGCGTTCAAGCAGGGTCCGAAGAAGGGTCGCACCCCAGGGGCAAGGGCGGCCCTTCCCCAAAGCAGGTAAAGCATCTGCTTTAGGCCCCACATTTGTGAGGGACCTCATTTTTGAACATGTGTTTGATTTCTTTCTTTTACAAATATAGAGAAGAAAGATCTACAATTGCTATGATTTCTACCAAGAAAATTGCATTTGAAACAAATATCAAATCTGAATTTTGTACGAAACGTGTGATACATAGGAAGAAATGTCTCAAGGAGGTTAATGGATTAACTATATTGTCAATTGAAAAAGACTTATTAGGAGAAATTGATTATAAGAAGATTATTAATAATTTTGCATCTAATAAAAGCTGGAAAAATAGACTTCATAAAAAAAGTTAAGGCCCCTCGTAAAATTTGGCTATAGGCCCCAAAATTTATCGGGCCGCCCCTGCCCATGGGGTGTAATGTAGGCAGCCTATCCTGACGCAAACATCAGTGGCTGATTCTACGGCTCGAACCCGTGACTTATAAGTCACGCGGAGACAACTTAACCGTTGCTCCAAGGTTCCCCTTCTTACACTTGACGGGTTCAACCTTTAAAAATTATTTTACTTTTAAATGAGGGTATAGTTACCTGCTTCAACGGTTAACAGTCGTCTGTTAGTAATGCCTAGGATTTGCAAATCCTCCACCTGTTCCTCGAAGCTACTAACAATATCAAGGGCATTAGTGGAAAGTTCGTGAGCATTTTTCAAGAGGTTCTTCATTTTGTCACCGGTATCACCGGTCGTATTAGCGAACGCGTCAATACAAGTTGTCTCAAAAGTAACAGCAGAGCTAAGCCATGACCTAAGATCATAAATATAATCCTTGACCAAGCTTTTAACGTCGGAACTATCAAATTTATTAAAAGACCTCTTGATTTCTTCGATTGAACGATCAAGTACCTCATCACAAACTTTTAATGCATCTTTAGTCCTTGGATCATTTGCAGCTTCCTTAAATGGAGCAGAATTCTTGATTGAACTAGCAATTTCATTAATAGTACTATCAAATGCTGTTTTAATTAATTCTTTTGGATCACTTGTATTTTTGGCTGAAGAAAGACTTTTTTCA